TTTTCTCTCCAATATTGTCACAGTGAAGTCCGTGGAATTTGTTGCAAGAACTTTCCCCGATAAAACCCCTCTTGAAGCGTGCATTTGTACAAATGCACTCAGCGACATTAATTTACTTTGACTTTAAAACAAATAGATTATAAATGGAAAACCTAAAGATAACTTTTTGTGTTTGTAGGTTGTCGGCAGTATGGATGCTCATCCCAGCCGGTACTGTGCTTCAGTTCGAGTTCAGACACATCGACAGGTACGATAGTCGCGCGAGAATGCAGTCGAAGTCGCACTCCATGAGCTTTTGAAGAAAACATTTTGTTATTCCTACTCTCACGTGATCTTAGACACCGCTCAATTATTTATTTTACAGGAAATCATTGCCGAATTAGCGGCCATGGTCCGCGAGCTACTGATTCAGTTTTATCGTTCGACGAGACACAAGCCAGTCAGGATCATTTTTTACCGTGATGGAGTCAGTGAAGGCCAGTTTAGACAGGTGAGGTAGTGATGGTAGTTACAGGGGTTCATGGGTGAATATTATTTGCTGTCTATTCCTGCCGAATATTTTGCCGTTTTACGTTGTTTAAACTGAAGAGTATTGCTGCTCCTTTTTTATTCTAGATAAGATATTAATACTTTGAAACTTGTGTCTTTGCCAAAAACATTGCATACAATAACACATGCTGAAAGACCAGTCAGTGTTCAATAGTGTACGAAGTTCTTCGCGAACTTTTAGAACTAAAATTGTTATGACCCTAAATTTGTCACTAGGTGTTGTGTCACGAACTAAAAGCCATCCGTGAGGCTTGCATCAAGCTGGAAGTTGGGTACCAGCCGGGCATCACTTTCATTGTTGTGCAGAAAAGACATCACACCAGATTTTTCTGTCAGGATAAAGAGGACATGGTATGGCTTATGAAACTGGCTCGCCATGTTTTACTTCTTCTCCTTCTTCTTCAATATCTTTTTGTAAATTCTAGACGAAAATGTCTCGAGAGCGTATTTATCTTCTTAGGTACAAAAATATAATTTTGGGGAGGAAAGTAGTGGAAAACACAACGTTTTCCTGGAGGTTTAGTTAGAGCACTAGCCCCAGTTTCCTCCGCCCGCAGGCCTTGACTCATCAATGTGCTGTAAACAAACCACTCGTGTGACTATGCGCGCGGGAATGCGCAGATTTTTATTTCTCTCAACTAAAGAGAAAGGGAGGAAAGTGTTTCTTAATCCCTTTCAGCCTAATACCAGTCTTCATATTCTCCGTACTGGTCTCTTTACATTTCCTAAGGTAATGACAAGGGGAATTTTTCCCAAAAATTAAGAGCTTCTTCAGCTAATGATCAATTCCCTTATTCTCCTCAGGGATGATATTGTAAGGAGAAATTAGA